TCGGGCTGGATTTTGGTGCGTAATATCAGTGTCCATGAATTCTAATAGCTACTGACATCAAGTATTAATGTCGTACCACGAATGTGCCCATGCTTTCAAATTAAAAAAACTTTTCATTTGACATATATCCATATAAATATCAATCAGCAAGTAATGCTGGGCTGAAAACACTACAAAATATAAGTATATACGTATAGAAAATTGAGGCATACCTTCACCTACCTCCTATAACACCCATTTCTTTACACCAACAAATTTTTTCCTGAATATGATCAGGAGCTCTTGAAACGCCCAAGGACAAAGATTGAACAACTTTTATTATTTTCGTGTTTTTGCCCCTAGCTTGGGTGCCACTGGACCGATTTCCAAAACCTACATCCTTGGCAAAGAAGTAGCCTTGTGTGAGAATTTCAACCAAATCCAAGCAGTAGATTCTTAAGTTATAGATGGGCCAACGTTTAGCAAACATATCATATAACATCCAAAAAACATATCTCGTTTATGAAATCCTTAGCTCGTACTTCCTCGCAACTAGGAGTGTTAAGTAAAAAAGATTCCATAATATACTAAGTGACATATAAATCCGAACACCAAGTTTAAATGGTTTTATTTTAATAAAATTTTGTATAAGTACTTAATGAAGCATAATAAGTAAATGATGATGAAAAATTTCAAAATGATGGCACTGCTTTAAAGCCCTTTGACCTTTAATAATGTGTGGATGCACCCTAATGTGCTACGCATTCTCCAACACGCCTAGGCATGCTTCTGATCAGGTGGTCAATGTCCTCCTGTGGTATCTCATTCCTGGCAACCACCAACTCCTCTCGAAGTGCTTCTAGAGTCTGAGGAGGACGTTGCAAATTGAGCAATCTCCTACCCATCATATCCCACACGTGCTCAATTGGGGATAAGTCGGGAGATCTGGGTGGCCATGGTAACAATGTGACATCATTATGTTGAAAGAAGTCTATTGTGACTCTTGCAACATGTGGTCGGGCATTATCTTGTTGGAAAGTTGGATCTGCCAGGGTGTCAAGATAGGGTAAAAGATGGGGTTCTAGAACTTCGTGGATATAACGCTGCGCGTTCATGTTACCTCTGATGAAGATTAAAGGTGACCTGGAACCATAAGCTATAGCACCCCAAACCATAACTCCAACAGTGTGATGAACATGTCTTTCAACAAAAAACTGTGGATTCCTCCTTTCACCATGTCGCCTCCTAACCCTGGCACGACTATTGTGCATGCCTAAACAAAATCGAGACTCGTCACTAAAGACAATACTGTTCCATTCCTGATCACAGAGTGACCGTTGTCTGCACCACTCAAGGCGATTACGTCGGTGTTCTCGAGTTAATGGGAGGACCCAGTGTGGCCGGTATGAAAACAAGCCAAAACTTCTCATTCGTCGGTAAACACTTCGCATGCCAATAGGTCTTCCGTGTTCTGCAAACCATTCATTTGCAATGGACCTGGTAGTGGAGAAACGGTCCCTTAAGGCCAATAATCTTAGGTGGCGATCTTTACGGTCTGTTGTTCTACGGCGGCGTCCAGTGCCCCTTGCTCTTTGCGTGCGGCCTTCTCGAAGCCATGCCTGACAACACCTAACCACAGTGTCTACACTTCTTTGCACTCTAACTGTAATTGCCCGAAAAGAAAGTCCAGCTTCCCGAAGTCCCACTATACGGCCCCTACCAAACTCACTAAGTTGACCAAATCGTACAGGTCTCCGTACCGTAACCGATCATAAAGGATGTCAAGAACCAAAATCCGCCAACGTTGATTCTTTACTGCGGCTGAAATATTCATTTTTAGAGCGTTAGTGAATTAAAAAAAAGCAGTATAAAAACCGGAATGTCTAACTGATAAGGCTGAAAATTTTTTCACTTGTTATTTACAGTAAGATAAATACATTCACCAACTTTTATTAAAATAAAACCATTTAAACTGGGTGTTCGGATTTATATTTCACTTAGTATAACTAATTATTCAATACAGAAAAGATACGCCAATGGTCGGTTTGAAAGAGCACACAGAGCAGCCCGAAGATGATAAACTCAGTGTGAAACAGGTGTTTAACACCTCCGAAATCGAAAGTCACCCCATCTGGTCAGATAAGAGCCGCTCAGTTGGGTTCTTATTTATCTTCAAAAGGAATTGATTTGTTTTACATCATCTCATTCTCTCGGAATACAAAGTGCTTTAAAAGCTTTCTTTTTGTTGTGCCGCTGCTGAGATCGGTTTCAATGGAAGGGACTTTTTCGGGATAAATGTACTTTTCATACAATGGCTGATTGTTTTCCGGTCTTTGGGGTGAGGGAGAATGGGCGGAATAAATTGTATAATTATGAGATGGAGTAATGGAATACCTTAAATAATTTACTTATGATAAGTTATGCATGACATTCGTATGAATTATATGAACATCCATTGTTTTATATTTTCTTTTTTTTACAACGGATAGGCAGAAGCCTAAATGCCAGTGCACCGCGACTGCTATGAGGAGCTTGAAGGAAATTTGTTAATCCGATTTCTGAACTGCCTAAGGCCTAAGGCTAGTATAACTGGGAAAAACTTTCTCCTGTAGATCTCAATATCCTAAGGACAAAGGAGCGGTCGTATCAGTTCTGGATGTACGAAGTTTGACACGGTTTACATGGGAGGCTGAAATCACACAGGCCTGTCGGGCAGGCACATCGCACGGCGGCATCCGGGAGGAAGGCTCTGAGAAGCAAAGCCAATTGGAGTACCGGTAGAAGAGAGCTTATTTGGGGCTTGTATAGAATGAGGAGATCGTGTGGAGAACAGTACTTCTTAGCCTTAAACAAATAGCTTAGCCTTTTCTCATCAGCCGCCGCTATTGACGAGATGTGTTCATGCCAGATCAAGTCCTCGGTTATGAAATGAACGGCTCTTGGTAAAACTAGGCCATCCATCGAAACTGGATGAGCGCTGGGATGCTCTTTGTTGGACAAGGTACAGTACTGCGATTTGGAAACATTAAACTGTACGAGATTGTTGCCTCAAGGTCTCTCATCAGAGAGGAAGTTGCTGCTAGTCTTCTTTTCCCTAGCTCACCTGCATAAATTGGCTTGTCACTATGAATTCCTGAAAGGAGGTCGTTCATATGTAAGATGAGCAATGCAGGAGCCAAGACTGACCCCTGGGGAACACCAGCGTTGACGTTGTGGGATGAAGGGGAGAACCCGTCAATTACGACAGAGAGCGGAAGTCAGCCACCCATCTGTAAAGCTTCTCTGGGAGACCATAAAATGGAAATTTGCTGAGGAGCTATGCCACAGCTGGTCGCACGCTTTTGTGATATCAAGAGCAACGTCATGAGCTCATCTATTAAATTAAATGCAACATTTTATTAAGCGCGTCACGCCAGAGAAACTTAAAAATGTTGGGAAAATTAGATTATTAACGTTACTGCTATCTTGGCAGTCTTTCTGAAAATGCAAAGTTGAAAGATAAATTGACGTTTATTTGGAATCAGTTCGTTTATCAGTCCTACATTTCCTAACTTCGCGCAGAAAAGTCGCTGAAGCAGAAGAAACGTTAGTTAAATAATTGATTCAGTATCTCTGATTTATTTAGCGATCAGAACCACATGGCCGAGATAACCATTAATAATTTACTGCTGTCCTACAAATAAAAATGTCAATGAAGTTTGATTCTTTTCACTTTCAGTCTGTATTTACGGATATTTTAAGGTGAAGCTTTGTGCATATTCTATTATTTTACTCAAACACATAAAAAACACTGTTTGCTGTTAGTTTCACAATATGTGCATCCGGCACCTAAATAAATAGTAGTTGCAGGAGTGTCTTAAGTTTTATACCCCTTAATTTCACCTTAGACTATATCTATCATTCTTTGATAGACTTTTACACGGTATCTAAAATGCAAAATATATTACATGTGTTATATTATGCAGTAAGTTACGTATGTTCGATTTTGGAGCACATGCAACTCGTAATTTACTACTGAACTAGCTAAGAACTGTTAGGCCACAGATACAGTTGTCATTGGTGCTAAGATCAGCATATCACATTTTCAACAGGAATAGCTGACTTGACAGTATTCTACAAAATAAATTATTAGGCCGCATACAAGGACGATGTAAAATTCCGTACGAAGTTCGACATTTGATAGTTTATTTCAGCTGATTAACATTGTGTAGCAATACTCGTATTATTCGCCCTCCACTACGTCACCTCTGCTGCCTGGACATACATTTAGTCGCTTTGAGGTTAGGAATAACTTGAATTTCAAACCGGCAATTGTCTTTTGATCTGACAAATGATGACAGCGAACGAAGCACTGGCGCTCCCACGGAAGGGGGGAGGGGTGAAGGGGGTAATTATCCCCCAGACGACTCGAGCAGTCTTTGAAAAGGTGGTATAAAGTAAACGTCTTATAAAAAAATCTGTAGCTTTAAGGAAGGATAGCGGCAACACTGCCAATCCGCTCAGTGCGCATGCGACTAGCGACTACTCTCCCACCAACAGCAACGGTGTGCGCTTCTTCCTGTTGGAACAGGTATAGTCTAGTCTTTTATGGTCTAGTATAGTGTCTAAATTCTGTACCAGTCTGGAGTCCGCAACAAAATTTGACTGAGAAGTGAACAAGCGGAGTTTTGATGATCTGGTTGGAGTTAACGCTATTTCCTATGCTCTATTGATTTTTTATTTTCGACGCATAAGCCAGAAAATTGATTTTTGTTTGTTTTTAACCTGAGTTAGACTTTACAATCAAAACAATTGACAAACAATACGCTGTCAAACTCATAGGAAATATTATTTCAGATGTTCAAGAAATACGCGCAAATTCCGAAAACACTTTAGAATACTATTCGCATCCTGTATAAAGAAATCACATGAAACCCTGGGTATTGAACTGACTGTGCCAAGAAGAACAAGCAGGCAAATGAACAGAGCGAACATAGTTACGTCTGACAAGGAAAATCATTATAGACTGAACCTATATGTGATAATATATTACAGGATTTGGTATACCGGTTAAATGAAGAATCTTTGAATATACACAATTTTAATATTTTTTTTTGTGTCAGTATTTAATTCGAAAACTGAAGCGGAAGTAATGGATATATTGGAAACAATCTCTGAATATTTGCATGGACCAAATAGTAACGAAAACAAAAATTTAATAAGTACCAGATTAAAAGCAGAATTTGACCTTTGGAAGTCACGTACACAAGATATTATAGACAGTGGAATGTCACTGTTTTTATCATGTGATGAAAACATTTCTCTTTAATTAATAGATTCCTACAATCATTGATTTCATTGCCGGTAAGTGTTGCGACATCTGAAAGAGGTTTCTCCCATCTAAAGAGGATAAAAACTTGGCTGCGCTCCACTATGTTAGAAGAGAGATTAGTGGGTTTAGCTCTTTTGTATATGCATAGGGAAATTAAAATAGGCGTGAATACAATCATAGATCGGTTCGCCAGGAAAAAAAAAGGCGCCTTGATTTGGTAATATGATAACACCTGAACTTTGCCTAAGGTTGTCTCTCAAATCCATCTCCCTTCTGTTGGCCAATAAATAAAAAAGCAGATTGATATAAAAGTCTGTTCAAATTCTGTTCAAATCACTTTCTAAGCTAATGTAATGATTGTTTTATTTTGAGACTGTGAACTGATGTAGCTTCATAGTTTATATGTTTTTGTTTTTTGAGACTGGCTAAGAGAATGTAGTTATGCAATGAATATTTTTTGTGTTTTTTGCATGATTATGAATTTTATTTTGATTTACATTCAGCTTTATACTTTATAGAAGTCGTAACATATTTGTTATTGTTATTTTTTTCATGAAGATGTATTTTTTGTGGTTTTGTTTGACATTGTTATGAAGAAAAGTCTGTGAAAGAGTATATTATTTTGCATTTTTGTTTTAATATATGAAGATTGCTCGAGCTTGGTCTGCTTTATTTACACTTTGATTTCGTATGATTCAAAATTAAAAAAAAAATTGTATGTATTTTCTACAGAAATTACTGTAACAAATTCATATGTCTGCATATGTCCATGCTTTTAATGTTAAAGCATTATAATATATATATATATATAATTAGAATTTACTTTCCGGACTGAAATCCTGGTAGCGCCACTGAAGCGAAGTATTTTCACCGTTGCCAGGCCTCAGCCCCACATGGCACAGATTCCACCGTAGAGAGCACACCTATATTCCACTATCTGTTTGATGTTTCCTTTTACTTCCCACGTTACCCGACGAGGAACTATTGCAATCGCAAAAAACTTCAAAAATGAGATATTACGTTTTTTGAATGTACATCAGGCAAAACCATGTCACTCATTTTCGTCAGTTTGTCGGTCTGTCTGTCTCCGCTGATCCTTGGCCCGTCAATAACTTGGAAAGTAGCGGTATTGTTTTGATACATTTTTTTTACAAGGTTACTACTATGCCAAGGACGAAAAAGCTTCTAAGGCCTTTAAAAATCGATGGCGGAGAAAAGGACCAAAACGAAAAAAAAGTCGCTCAAACCGCCTTTTTGACGTTCCACATGATCCTGACCATTTTTGAAAAATTCTTTAGACGGTGGGAGATTGTAGGGGGTATCTCAATTTTTGCTGTTAGTATGTTTGTACTCTCCCAAGCTCGGTAGTTATACACACCTAGTCACTTACTTCACACATCGTAGATTTCCACGTACATTTGCCATTAAAACTGCGTTCGATACGTGTCACTGCTTCCACGGTCTGGGATTACCGGCAAGCGCGCCGGTCTTGATAAGTGGTCTGATCTTACTGTCACGTCTGATGCGTTGTGTCGTCAGGTGGTGTCGTGGACTTGATACACTTAGTTTCTCTTTTATACATATTCGTAACTAACTTTTTATCTACCGCATGCAAGGAGATCGATTCCGTTACACCCACTATGCACTTCGCTCCCGGCCAATTTGGAGCGTTTCTGTCAGTTTTTAGGGCAACGAAAAGCCGTTTATGCTTATTAAGTGAACTTTTGATAGTATATTTGAAGGTATAATTCCAAAGACTATTAAAAATTGTAAGATCGTTAACCTGATAACTTTTCATTGGATCCGATCTTAGGCTAAATCGCCCCTGTCAAGTTTGCGGATATTGTTTTAACAACATTTCTATGTTCGAGTGTACCGGTTGAAAGGCAAGACAAAAGGGAGTAAGTGAAAATCCCGCCCCTAGCTTCACGGTCGAAGTTACGGGCGCGCTTCCCATATTTCCTATTGTGCTGTGGAGGCAGAAAAAAGAGGTGATGGGGTCTGTTCTGATAAATTACATTATTTTGACTTAATGTCGCATGAAATTTGAAAAGAGCGCCAACCTGTCAGAAAGCATACTTAGATAAGGTTTTTCTCAGCACTGGTTGTTATTGACGATACGTATCCGTGCGATATCATGTTATTTGCAATCGTAACTCCCACTGAACGAATAGCTTCTTGGCAAAACTTGTTGGTCTATCAGAACATATTGCGCCTATTTTTACCTTTGAACGTTCTGGACACTGTTGACCTTGCACCTGACCCTTACGGTCAAATCAAGGTCAACACAATCTTATTGAACGGTACTGTATACTTTTGATCTGAAAACTGATAGAGCGGGAAATTTTTGTCCACTTACGGTGTTGGGAGAAAATTCTTTTGACCTTGAAAATCCTGGCCAAATTCGCTGTGAAAGTAGTGTTCAGAGACCTTTCTGAAAATGAAGAAATAATATAACCTAAGTGCAACAGAAACACATATTTTTAACCCGACTGCCACAGAAGAAGGGTTATGTTTCTTTGTGTGTACAAGAAATTCTATTCCACGGGCTGCACTCCAAACGGGTTGATGGATTTTAACATATATTATGAGGTGTTGTTGGATAGGTTTTAGCGAGCGGTGCTAGTGACACTGGGTATATCAAAAGTTCTATACGATCATAATGACGGATCTTGATGAAAGAATGTCTTGCACTGCGAGTGACACTGAGTATACTAAGATTTTATAAGATCAAAATGGCGGAATTAGCAGAAAATTTCAGCTAAATTTCCATTCCACGGGCTACAGTTTAAACGGCTGGATGGGTTTTTATATTTGAGGTGTCCTTAGATTCCTCTTGATAGCACAATCAAACTTTCATTCTTTCCAGTACCTACAGTCGGGTTGTTGGTATTTTTAAAAAATGTACTTGTTCCTTGGCTTATACTGATGACCTCGACACTGATATTTATTTAGCATGATTTTGCTGGTCAAACTAAGGCGTAGACATTTGTTTGCCTATACGTTTGATCAGTTTACTCTTAGTCATATCATTGAGCAACAACGCTCAAGGTCAAAATAACTTTCATCCAAGGCCATGTCCAAACTGTCAAAAGTGTAAAGTCTCATTTAAAGAGATCGCCTTGACCTCGATTCGACCTTCCAGGTTATGCCTAGAGTCATATTCATCAGCACCACTGGATAGCTAGGGAAACATCGTAAGTCCATAATAATTTACTTTTACCATACCCCTTGAATAGCCCCAAATACCTATCTGTTTTGAGCAATTTAGATCACCATCATAGCCTCTGATAAACTCCAAAGTGCAATTGCAGTTAATTTGTGTTTCAATTCCGCAAATTTCTTCTGATTTTGGATGCCAATACGTATTTCATGAAGAGAAATTCCCAAACCAGTTTATTTCTTATTTGTTATATTTTTCAGCAACCTTCACGAAAGCTATGCATGTTGCAGTTGATTAAATTTTCCCCTAGTGATTGAGCGTAAAACCATATAATTTATCTATTCTATCAGCTAGCGCACCGTAATGTTCTTCATTCTCTTCGTATTCTTCTTTCACGTGGAAGTACCGAGAAAACGGTCCTTATGGTAAAAAATACCGACGACTATGGATGCGGTGAGAATCTTATAGTACACGGGGCACACCAACTCATTCCACACTTTCAAAAACAATCTGAATGTACGGGATGCTTAAGAAGTTGACGGCTCTCATATACTGGATGCTGGAACTTTCCTTGAGAGAGTGAGTATTATGGAAATTTAATATCCCGTCTCGCGTAAAAGTACATTCGTCCGTCGCTAGAATGTTTTCAAAAAAATCCGGATTTTCAATGTTTTTGCGCAAAAACCACTGACAGAATGTTAGTCTGCGAGGATAGTCTTCTGGTAACAAGGCCTGCACAAACTTCTATGGACTATGGTATGCGATAGTCCTACGCGACGGCCTAATTCCCGAGTGCTGATATCTGCATTGATTTCCAATATTTAAAATTTGTTCTTCTTGCTCTACAGTAACCTGTGTTTCACAGGTGCGAATATTAGTGGGCTGAACACTTCCTGTAATTCGAAGTCTTTGGTACACTTGCACAAATGTCCTTCTGTCTAGGTGTACATTGTAAATAAACACGACTACGTACGCGAACAAAAACAAAACAACACACTAACCACTGTTACCGTTTGCGATCGATTGCCGGTTCGATAAGAGTGAAGATGACCGACGCGCTGTTGTCATGTATGTTTTAAATATTTAATTTAATGAAACCTACTTACTGACTACAAATTTTGGCTTGACTTAGAAAAACTTAATCCCATTAATAAATGTGCTAATTACCCAATTTAAAAACGTTTTAGATTAGATTATAAAAATTAGTAGGATTGTGGTAAACTATAAAGCCATTTAGACAAAAATCTATTGACTTTTGGATGGGTCATATGAACTTTCTGACTTGTTTTGACTCCCCTAATACCCACTCCAATAATGACTACATAACGTTTACACCCTGTATCTCATTATCGATTTTTGTTGCTATTACAGTTGTCCTCGCCAGTAGGCGTAGGAAGTAAGTGTTTTTTCCATAGAATTTATGTTTGTTACCCTTCTTCTCAATATGCTATCCATAATAAAAATCAAATCAGGCCGCGAGAAATAAACAGGAATTGCATGGTTTTCTCGCAATGTACGAATTTCAAAGACGTTTCTTTCAACACATGACCGAAGAAACTAGAGTAAACTGTATCAACAAACATTTATAGAATCAATCAGTTTCTATGGATTTTTAGAAGTATGTCTAGAGCTCTCCTACTAGAACCGTACTGTTAGTGTAAATCCGCCAGAAAATTGTATCGTTCACAAAAAAGTCGAGGATCGAAAAGTGGCTTTCGCTGTAGGTCTTTTTTAACCGTTCAATAAGCTTAGCCGTATAAAAGGTACAAAACTTAATTTCAACAAGTTGTTCCAAGCAACGTCTTCCAATCATCTTATTTTTATTCAACAAAAGAGCGGCGGAACAGCTTTTGGTCCTTCTCTCTTTATGTTTGCCGAACCGGTAATAGCTATTTATTTAATTTGCTACACCTGAACTGGTATTTTTATATTTATTTTTTCCGTTGCTACGGTACAAAACCAGACAAATATTTTTATAGATTTAATGGCTTTTGAGAAATATGAATTGAGCCGTTTTGCCGAGTTGTCGTCTGGGCTTAACGGTTTATATGCCTTTCATTCTTATTGTCGCAGCTTTTGAGATGGCAACCTGTTATGATATTTGTGTGTTTAGGACTAATACATTTTAAAACCGCCCGTAAAGTCAGTAGTTCTTTTCCGTTTACTTCCCACGC